CCACCTCCGATTTCGATGATTTTTAAATATGTTGTCAAGGTCATCATCCTGAGTAGTGTTGAGGTTTAAGTTGGGGGTCGTCGTTTGTAAAGAAAGTTATTATCAAAACTACTATTTCAGTGAGAAGAGAAAAAAAAAGCATTGTACATTAAATCAAAATTCTTCTTTTTCGAGTAGAAGATGTCTCAGATACACCACTTCAAGTAGAAACGCTTCTATTGTTTTGGGGAAGTTATTATCAATAACAGTTCACCAATCAGTATAATACTTCAGCGTTGGCTAGGCACAGTTCATGAAAAATAGTCATTCAGAGTTGGTTAGAAACAGTTACAGGAAAAAAAAAATAACCCAGAGTTCGTTGGAGATTGTTAGAGAGAAAAAAGTCATTCACAGTTCATTAGAACACTTCACGAAAAAGGTATCATTCTTCTCTTAATAACTTCTTATGAAACAACATTCGATAACTGAAACTTTTTGAAGGTCACTGGAGGGGGTGACGTTGACAACAAATTATAAAAAAATCGAAAAATCGGAGGTAGCTCCCTTATTGTAAATATTTACCCTCGAAGGTGTTTTCCCTTTATTCTTACCGTTCGCGTAACCTTAGCCGGTTAAAAAAAGTAAAGTAGACGAACACCTTCTTCCATCGGTGCCGTTTTTAATTTCCGCGGTAATGAGAAATCACCGGCAGCATCGAAATTCACGGAAAAACGTCTCGTCCGCGACAGGATGAAACTTGAGACGTGAAAGGGAACGCGGGAACGGAGAATTTCGTGGAAAGAGTGGTGAGACAGAGTCCTATGGAGCAGCAGGAGGGGGAGTGCAACCGCGAACGAGGGCTAATAACCTAGGAAGTTAATTACGACCGTAAACTGCGAGGGGGTTGTTTGACTACCCCTCGGTAGCAAGGGTGGCTGACATAACGTGGCCTCGTTACAACGGAGCTCCGCCAATCCCTCGTCCGCGTTGCCCTTTCGAAGCGATCGCACATCGTGAAAAGCTTCCACTCGTCCCCCTCCACAATCCCTCGTGAATCTATGAAAATTAACTTAAAGCCCTGTCTGGACCTTCTCCCGGAAACCGCCGGTCACACGTGGGAGCTTCATGTGGTTATTCGTTTGAGGCATTAGAGCTTGAAAGCCGGGCTGTTCCGGTTATACTGCTTCTGCAATTCGAGATATTATGTACAGAAGATGTTCCTGGGGATTCTGAAACCCGGATACTATGGAACCTATACGAATGAACCCTGCGGTATGAAGAAATAAATGGAAAATGCTGTTACCTAGGTTCCCTGAGCGAACAAAGTTGTCGAAGTTTCTATTAGGTCAATCAGTCGAAGACAGTGTCTATTCTTAAGATTATAATTTATATTTGCATTGCGTTTGTTAGAAGGTTACCTAAATTTTGTTGCCTGATTGTCAGAGGTGCACTTTTAAGGTGGATTACTATAAGATCGGAAAATATTCTTATGCACGTCTGAATTACGTAAAAATCTAAGATACGATGAAACAATAACATAACTACATAATTTAAGAACATTTGTATTGCATTGTTTACGCATTAAGATACTAAATAGTAAATTGCAAATTTGACTACATATAAGAGAATTGAATTTTCCGTCTGGTACGGTAGAATAGTCTACCACGAATTTCTCTTTCGACGGTAGAACTTCCGAATTCAATTTTCCAGTGAAATGAAGATCTCACGCGAACAAATTGCATTCTCGCAGAATCATCTGGTAGAACACAGCGTGTGTAATAATTTTCTATAACTCATAGGTGGATCGTAAAAAAAAATAAAAGGAGAAAAAAATCCTTCGTCGCCTCTTTTGACGATCAAAAAAAAAAAGAGGGAGACTCATGAACCGGAAGCACGCCGGCGGAGAACTGATAACAGAGAGCGGGAATGTTTATAGTATGAATAATTCATTGTTTCAGTGAAATTGTCCCCGGCACGGGCCGCGAACAATGAATGAATGCAGTTCGCAATAAGCCAAGAAGAAAATTACGCGCATAAATAATGTCCCGGCGAAACTTTGTTCCCGTTTCGCGGGGGCGTTTCTACACGGTGGTATCATGTTAGTCTTTGCCAGGCGTCGGATCTATGTGTATCTTCGGACATAAATCACGCGGGGCCAAGTGTTGTTTCGCAAAACACACCGCTCGTGCGTTTTATTGTCTTCAGCTATTATGACGTGAAATTTATTATATTCACGTTATCGTCCCCCTCCAACGAAAACTACGCGTGGTCTTGCTTTCAGAAGTCGAATGCATTGTGTCCAAACCACCATCGAAATTGTCACGATCAAGTTCTTCTCTGTGGCTTTCTCATCCAGATTTTTGAAAGACTAATTAAAGGAATGCCTGTTCAATCTTCTAAACAGAAGTCTGATTCTAGTTACCTGTTATAGATCTGTTTGTCGGATAAAGGTAGATAAAAAGGGATCTAGGAAATATTTTTTGGGGATCGATGTTTCGACATGGACACTTGTGCAATGACGAAAGATGCTCGGATAATTTTTAGAAATGTAATAAATGGCCTGTTCGTCTTTAGACTACATCTTTTTTTCCATCGGATCCATCGATCACGCTAGAGAGGAGAAATTGATCGAATGGAATCAAAGTTGCGAACTTGATACCTCGTTCACGGGGGAAGAAATGTTTGCGAAGAGCTCTTCGTGTGCGATCGAAATAAAAAAAAAGACGAAAAACAAAGCAAAACGGTTCACTGGTCCTAGTGAAACGTATTTCCGGATCGTATTCCATTACTCGATGGGTTTTCAGCCACCGCCTGTGCGAAATAATCCGCGGCGAAGCACATTTTGCAAGCGATTCTGAACCATGAAAAAAAAAACGTACTTTTCTTTATCGTTTCGCGATCGTGTAAAAGTGGACCGCGACAGTTTTTCCTCTGCGCCCCGTAGAACGCGATAGAGTTGAAATCTGACGAATATTGGCAGACCATAGGCAGTCTGGTATCTTTGTTGCGCGCGGTTTGTTCCAAATCGTCCCCTCGACCTCGATTTCAAATTTCCCAGTTTTACGTTCGATTCCGAAAAATGTTGATAAATCGTTTCAACGTGGTCGCGCGTGTCGAAAACCGATGGTACTCTTCTGTCTCCATTGTTTTTTCCAATGAAAGGATAATACGGACGGTTCGTTTATCATCGAACGCTCAGAAACGACACATCAAATAGTATCAATTTCTTTAACCGCGTTTCACGCTCGCACCGTCAACGATTGACTTGTATTAAAAATCGCAGAAAAAATTCGAGAAATGCGTCGGTATGAAATTTTTGAATTTTTTTTTAAGAAGTTATGAGCCAGTCGTAGATTGCTTCAGGAGTTCTGTGTGTTAAGCACCACGGAATTCTGTTAAGAAATACAGTAAAACTTGGATTAATGGCTGAAAATCGGAAGTACCGAAACGATGCCGAACGTAGAAAAGGACAGGGAGTGCAAAAGAAAGGACGCACCTCATGGTGCATCAAGGGGAATCCCTCCTTAATGGTGAGGATGGACACCGGGTGCTTACGCTGTACGTGGTATCGGTCACTAATCGAAGTTTTACTGTATTAGGTTGTACCACACGAAGTCGCTCATATCGGAATTGTTTAAAATCAATTCAAATCAGTAAATTCAATGTGATCTACATTGCTTGTTGGGCTAATCTCAAAATATAACATTACCGTGCTTCTTCGTCTTTTTTAAATATCAAATTCCTACTGTGATCGTTTAAATATTCTACGTAACTAAACAATATTTTATCAAATGAGTAGCTCCGAATATTATCCAATATGAATTTCCATTGGGTCGTGGCAAAGTTAGCTTCGCATGTTACGAAGATCTTACGTTAGTCACAACATTTACTAGATGTCTCCCGAACAAAAGAACATTTTCACCACACGATAATCGGTAGTTACAGTGTTCGCAAAAAATTCCTACAATCTAAACGCGATTAACTTTTCTAAAAATGAAATTTATCGTATTGTATCTCGTTCGAGCGAAGCTGTTAATCAGATTTCAATCGAACGGAAAATTAATTCGCCTAAATAAACGTTTCCGATTCGATCTATATAAACGCGACCACTTGACACGGTACAACCTGATACATTTGCGTAAATGAAAAAGTTCTATTATAAGAGTCGTGAGGATCGGTCGTTGACGAATGGCGAATTTATTCGCGTGGCAGGATGCGGAGGATCGCGCGCGCGAACCTTAAATTGGTCCCGGCAGCCACGAAGTAAGAAACGGGCCCGGCAGACGGGGTGGCCACCAGTATAATTAGCCATGGCCGCGATAGCAGTTACGTGGGCGGCACGCATAAACGCGGCGGACACGCGAGATCGTGCGGGCTTAGGTGTTTACCATTTCCCAAGTGGCCGCGCGCCTCGTACAATCTTATCGGGGCCGAGCGTTGCACGCCTTGCGGTGCATTAAACCCCCCTCGAGGGTGTCGCGACCCCATAAAACGAGCTGTTAGAATCTTTGGTAGACTTTGTACGAACTTGGGAATCAGATCGATGGGTTATTATTAGGCTGTTCTACATACATGTAGGTGCCGATGGTACCAGCTGATTGGGGATATTCGATAAAACTTTTTTATGAATGAAAATTATTAATAACGAGTTTACCACTTGCGTGTTTGAATTCAACTTTTTTACGAGATTCTCCGTAGCTCGATGGTAATGTCACCTTATGCGTGTTTAAAGTATTAAAGCCTCGAATATCGACCTAATTACACGGAATGATAGATTAACTGAAGATGATAGATTAACTGAGAAAACAAAACGACGTAAACACTCTACTTCAGCCGCGGAAAGTGCTACGCGATGGAGCCTCATCACAGGAAAAACGTCTATAGAATCTTATCGCCGGTGGTCACAGTGATTAAGAATTAATCCAATCAAGAAAAATCCAAATCACCAATCTATACTTTTCATTCCTGCTACTTATAAAGACTCCATCCTGCACGCTGTTGAACGTCAGTCTAGACAGAGATTCATCATGATTCGTTTAGCAGTGTTCGCATTTATCCTCAGTTTTGCGTTGGGTGTTTCCAGTACAGTATGGCACAAGAACGCTGTGGTATATCAGATCTATCCGAGAAGCTTCAAAGACACCACAGGCGACGGTATCGGTGATCTGAACGGCATCACCAGCAAGCTTCAGCATGTCGTGGACATCGGCGCGAATGCTATCTGGCTCTCTCCGATCTACAAGAGTCCACAAGTAGACTTCGGCTACGACATCTCCAATTTCACGGACGTCGATCTCGACTATGGCACCATGGCGGACTTCGACAGGCTGATGGCCAAGGCCAAGTCTCTTGGACTCAAGGTCATCCTCGACTTCGTTCCGAATCATTAGAGCGTCCAGAGGATCAAACCGTACGACGAGTACTATATTTGGCGGGACGCCAAGGTCGTCAACGGCACCAGGCGACCGCCCAACAATTGGCTGAGCACCTTCCAAGGTTCCGCCTGGGAGTGGAACAACATCAGAAAGCAGTACTACTTTCATCAGTTCGCGACCGGTCAACCAGACTTAAACTACCGTAGCCAGGCTTTGAATCAAGAGATGAAGAACGCGTTGACCTTCTGGTTGAACCGTGGTGTGGATGGTTTCCGTATCGACGCGATCAATCACATGTTCGAGGACGCCAGATTCCTGGACGAACCAAAGACAGGCTCAAGCAATCTCCCTGAGGATGACTACGACAGCCTTTACCACGTCTACACGAGGGATCAGAAGGAGACGTTCGAAGTCCTGAAATCCTGGAGGAAGCTTCTTGACGATTACTCGAACCGAACCAAGTCTGACGCGAAAATGATCCTCACGGAAGCTTACGCGAACATGAACGAGCTGGCCAAATATCACGAAGCTGGCTCCGACGTTCCTTTCAATTTCATGTTCATAACGGAGTTAAACAACAAGTCCACGAACTCGGACTTCTTGTGGTGGATACAGAAAGGGCTGAACATGCCAGGCCGGAATTGGGTCGTGGGTAATCACGACCAGCACCGAGCGGCGTCGAGGTTCGGTAGGAACCGTGCTGATCAGATCACCATGCTCTCGATGATGTTGCCCGGAGTCGCTGTTGTATACAACGGCGACGAGATCGGAATGGAGGATAGAAACTTCACCTTCATGGAGACCCGGGACCCGGCTGGCTGTAACGCTGGTCCAAGCAGGTACTACTTGAAATCCAGGGATCCTGAGAGGACACCCTATCAGTGGGACAACACCACCAGCGCTGGATTCTCCGAGAGGCGTATAACTTGGTTGCCCGTGCACGAGAACTACAGGACTCTGAATCTAGCCATCCAAAAATCGGCATCGTTCTCGCACTACAAAGTCTTCAAAGACCTAGTAGCGCTGAAGAAAAAGCCTGTCTTGGCCGAAGGCAATACACAGCTGGAATTGTTTCCCGATGGTGTTGCGGGTGTCGCTCGTAATATTGGATCGACGGTCGCGGTGCTTTTGATCAACTTCTCCGATAGTCCAGTCACCGTGGACGCCAGGTCCAAATTGAACCTGCCCGAGTCGCTGATGGTCTACACCGCCAGCGTTGATTCTCACCTTGTACCAGGAACGCGGGTTATCTCAACCAACCTGAAAGTACCCGCAGCTGCCTCGGTCGTGTACACTAACCCGGCACTAGTTTTGCAGAAGGAAACATACTGAATTCGTGTATAATTAGTTTCCACCAGGGATGGAAAAAGAACCGGTATCACATAAACGGTTCTTTTTCCATCCCTGGTTTCCACTTATGTACACGAGATATCCGGCGGACGAATGTTTTAAACGACGAAATGTAATAACGCGATATACGATTTCCAATTTCGGTTTACACAGACGCGAAACGAAGGTATAATCAATGCTCGTACGAAATTGACCATGAAGTTTTCCTAACTCACTATTCATTATTAATAGAATGTTAATTGAACTGTACATGTTTCATCGTGTCACGGATGTTTGCCATCTTGCATAATTAAATGTCCTGCAAATATTACATACCCGTGGAATATCGAACACGATGGTTATGATTATTTTTTTTTTTTCGAAATTAATCCCGTGCACGTTAATAGGAAGTAGCTTTCGCTAATAAAAACGTGGACAGAATGTAAATTCGGCGTTGCAGTCAGTTACATATTCAAGCACATTAATTCTTCATGAAGCCCCGAGGAAAATTTCATGATTTCATTCCGAGAGAATAGATTCACGTGCTTGCTTCACCGTAGATTCGTCTTATTTGCTCCATTTCTTTATTACCTGACCGCTTATATAACGTATTTAAATTATTCAGCCGTAGCTACCTCCTGCATCTCTAACTTGGATTTTCATGAATTTCGAATATTCATAGCATAATTACGACGTCTCTTCCTTCATCGGAGAAAAGTCGTAACGCTTCGCTTCTTTTATTTTCTTTGCCAGCTTCAATAACCAAACCTACCAACGAGCATTACTTTCGCCATGAACGTAGTAGTACAGTTTAAATTTCATATATCTTCCCGATTCTTCGATCTATATTAGTGATATACGATGTTGTAATCGAGCAATAAATAAAGCTAAGAATTGTAAAACATACCACAAGACTTCATTATTCTTTACAGAAAGAAGTAGTAGTCAGCACTGGTCAGAAAAAAGTAGTAATACTCAGCATTGTCCAGACACATACAAGTAGTGGTAGTCAGTACTGACCAGACACAAAAATTTGTAGTAATTAGTACTAATCAAACACTCCAGACTAACAGATGAACATCCTAACTCAATATTCTCAGCAACAGAACGAATAAATTTACTCCAAAATTTCTTGTGAAATTGAAAGTATCCACGATCGTCTTCGTCATTTCTAATTCTTTTTAATACCTATTCCAGGAAAGTACTTTAAACAATATTGAACAAAATGTCAGTTCCCTGTATAATAATACCAATTCATCCGATTGAATATACTTTCTGTAATATGTAGCGTATACGATTCTCGATAATCTTACGATTTTCAGTATACATCGTCCCTCAATTCCTGCGCTCGAACAGTCAATTCGAACAGCGGCTATGATCATAAGCCAACCGACTAATTGGGTTACGTGTGAGCGTGTGTGTGTGTCTTCAACATAAACGAACGACGTTTCCTCGAAATTTTCCGGCTGAGTCCTGAGCCGAGCGAATACGGAGCATTGTTTGGTCGTTCTCGCAAGACATGGACGGAGGGGGACGTGCGTACGTGCACACGAGTGCGCTCGTGGAAATTCTCAAGTTTTCATGCAGACAGCCGGCCGTCCCGCTATGCACACCGGGACGCAGGGGCCTGCGCCAATCACGTTGAGTGCACATTCTTCAACCTATCCGCCTGTCCCTTGTTCCCGTTATTTCTCCTCCTCTTTCAGACGTCGCCCAGAGACACTTGGGAAAAGATGCGCTCGCACAGCATTCGACTTCATTTGTGTACACACGGCACCTTACATTCGGAGCGCGCTCGAGACCCTGGGTGAAGATCGACGACGTTGCCTTCTCTCGCCCTTTCTCTATTTCTCTACGTGTGAGCCCATTTTTCCGGAACAACGAACGTTTCTTCGTGATCGGATCAATCATGGAATATCGGCGCTTCGTTTCCCTCTTTCTGTCTGGATAGTGACCGATTCCCTTGGTAAACGACCGCTTGGATATTTCCTATCAATCCTATGTCTTGCTTCGCCATATACAGTAAATATTCGACGACTGTTTGAAGGCTCCTCGGCACTGAATGTTAAATGCTTCATAAACTAACGGCCATATGGACGGAAACGAATATCAGTAGGTTCAGAACTCCAAGATATGCTAAACCTCATTAGAAAGTCAGCGTTACACCTGAGAACCTCTGCTTGTCAGTGCCCAGGAGCCTTCGAACACTCATTGAGGATTTACTGTACTTTATTATTCAAATGGTTCACGTTAATAAGAGCCGTACGGGGTACGAAACTGTGTAATTAATATCAAGTCTCGAGCATCGAGTATTCCAAGGTTCAAGGTAAAGTGAATCTTCGCAGGATTTGAGAGAAACGAAAATATCGATTACAGTAAAACTTCCGCGTTCTCCGTCGACGAAACAGACATTTCCTGTCTACCAGCATCGTTACATCGCACCCCCCGCCCCGCCGGTTCTTTCGTCTCAAAGACAGACACTCGAGCATTTCCAAGACCGTTCCCGGATATTCAAGGCTGCATCCAGTAATCCGCACCAAATATTTTGACGGCGGGAAGTCCGTGCGGAGTTTCGTCTTATTTGCCGCGTGGTAACTCGCACAGTCCTCTTAATTAATTCGCGGTCTCTCCCGTGCCGCCGCGGCCTTCCGGCGGCGTCTTTCCCTCTGGTTGCCCGTCCGCCGCTTTCGACGCCTATTTCCCTTTCCTTTCGGTCCCGTGGACCGTGAATTTTCGAGACGAACCCTGCGCCCGGCCTTTGAAAGATCCTGGGCACGTCCCGCCGATCCTCCCCCGTCCTCCAATCCCTTTTCTTTTATTTCATTCTGCTTGCCCTTTTAATCTCATAGCCGCGAGACGGGAGAAGGGCCGCGTGCAATTACTTGCCCGGCCGCCATGTCTGGGGGAGGAGAACAGTAAGCCTTTCGCGCGTACTCCAATTAATTCTCACAATACAGGGACGCCTCAGCTCGGCTGGGGGGCAGAATCGATTCTCGAGAGGGATCGCGTAACCCCGGGGTTGGTTATCGGGCGTCGAACGTTGCCTCGTTAGCGAGGAGAGGCCGCATTATCATAAAATCGAAGCACGTAACGAGCGTGCACCGTCGACCAATTAAAAATAGCCCCGACTCACCCCCTCTCGCTGCCACAGTATCCTATTTGTAGCCGGCTATCCTTGGTTACATCAATGTGTCTGAGTGACTGACGTGGAAATTGATACACCTGAAACATTAAATGCGAAAATCAGATCACCGCTCGGTTGTCGTAGCCGCCTAGTGTAGGCTTATCGTTTCTGTCATAGCACCTTTTCCCTCCTATTAACACACAATTTTACGGTACCATCATACTTTTAACCCACAGCTGCACTATTATTCGTATTGCAGTAAATTCTCGATAAGTGCTCGGAATGATTTCTATATTAAATACCCTTGTTTATCCAGACTTTCTGAAATTATTTCCCCTCTACGATAACTGTTCCAACGCGGTCCTGAGTTTTTAACATTAATCGAGGATTTACTGTATCGACGAGACATAAATCCTATCCAGAAACTTCTATTGAATCGTACGATAATGTAAGAACAAAGTCCACCTAGTACGATTCAACACGTGTAGAAGATTCGATTCGAACAGAACTTCGCAACAACAGGTATAATGTGTATCCCCTGGAATAAGTCTAAGACTGATTGGTTCTGTCCCTCTAAACCCACCTTCTCTGACACAACCGTAGGATACTGGGCACACATACATATTGTCTTTCTTGGCTAACCCTATGACATCGACCGCATGACGAACGATTTTAGGCAGTGCAAGCAAACTACCCTTCTTACCCCTGTGCTGTCTCGCTGGATTTCTGAGCACTTTAACCATCCCTAATTTCCCGTCAGCAGCTGAACACCTACGACCCCTGTATATAATTCCGTCCAATCCAGCTTGACGATCGTCGATCAACACGTGCCTCCGCGTATTTCACAGGAATCAGTGTTGCCTTCCACAGTAGCATGGGGCCGATAAGCTACCGTCATATCGGTAAATATCGAGCACCGACCCTGATCGTTCTCCCCTATTTGTCCACGTGTGTGAAATATTCCCCGTGAGAATTGCGCCATCCCCCTTTCCCTCGGGACTGCGCACACCGCGTGGCAAGGCTCGTTCGACGATTTCGCTCGCGCGCGGATTTTATGCCCCCTCCCTCCACCCACCCCAGAATCCAATTACCCTGAATAATTTATCGGCGAATCACAGACGCTAATGACATCCGTTCGAATTAGGCGAGCTTTCGGTAAAAGTGCCACTGCTGCCGATCCTAACTGCGCGAGTGGCCCGGTCGCCAATTAGTATTCATGTCGCGGATAAAGTTCCCGTTTTTACGTCGACCCGGCACGATTATCTACACCCGCCAGAGGCTCGACGCGCGTTTTCAAATGGTCGCCGGCCCCCTGTTCTCGCGTCCGCTCCTGATTGCTTTCCGATGAGCCGCGCCTCGCGTTAACCGTCTTTATTGGGTCACGTGTTTGGACCCTCGATATCCATTTATTCCAGCTGTATGAAACTTTGCTACTCGAATTTTAGAATATATGACTCAGGTGCTAAGTATGGAGGGTAATTCTAAATATGACATTTTTTTAAAGTATCTAGGTATCGAAGAAGCTACAGTAGTGTAAGAATAATGCCTGTTGTACGACACTAACTCACGACTTGAATAAATTTGATCAAATCAAGACCGCGATGATCGTTGCGCTCACTTTAACTTAATGACGAGAGGGCTCGTTTAATTCGAGGTGTGGTGCTGATGAGTAAATTTTTAGTCAATTATTAAACTAAATGTATTTACAAAACTCAACGGTGTAATACAAGAAAGTATGGTGTGTACTCTGTGCTCGCTGGTGAGAGTATGCCTGGTCGTTTCTCTCAAACGGAGGATGTTGTGTTGTAGAGGGTGTCTTGGAAAAAGGCGGGTGTAGCTGGTGTGTGATTGGTTTTTTCGTCATTGGTTCTTAGTAGGAAATATTGAAGGAAGTAACTAAGGGGGTGGAGAGTAGGGATGACTGACAGTGAAAAGTAAGAAGGGTGGTGGAAGGAAAGGTGAGAGTGAGACGGTTTGAGGAACAGGATGACCTGAGAGTGAGGTGTATGGTGGTGGAAAAGAAAGGTGCAAGTGAGAAGGTTTGGGGACAGGGATGAACTGTGGGTGATGCGTACGGTAGTGAGGAAGGTTTATGACTGTGTTTTCCGGTGACTTTTATGAGTGTAGCGGAACCGTTTTTAAGATTTTTATGGTATAATCCGGGCGTTTGAATTTTCGGCACGTAAATAAAATTAGCAAGGTTTAAGCTAAGCTGAAGGCTCGATAGATTGTTGTACGGCGATTTATGAGTCCGAACACCTGTTCTACATGTATTTTCGACCACTCTTCATTTTCCGAAACCTCTGTCCCACGTATTCCCGAAACAGATTCCACGTGACCAGGGATCCAGGAGCCCACCGATTTCTCAGTCATCCGCGGAATAAATCAGACAAGTGGGCAAGAAGTTTCCCAGAACGAGGAAGCGATCGCTCAACGTCGTTACCATAGGGGGACGCAAAAACGTGTGCAGTCGTAGACGCGTTTCCCGCGTGAAAACCGATCCCTGTCTTCCTTTGCCTCGAGTAAGCCGACGGCTGTTTTCCCGGGGAATACCGGTCCTAAGTGGATCCGAAATTGTTGCAGACGCGGAAGTCGGTGAAGTATTAGCCGCTATTTATCAGTTAACTTTCCGTTTTGGCGGACACCGAGCCCGGAATACCGCTTAGTCAGGAAGATGGAGGGCGAGGCACGCCGGAAACAGGAGGATGAGGGAAGGCTAAGAATCGCGCTCAGAAGAAAAGTTCGGAGGGGAGATATATCCTTGGGCTTCTTTCGTTTGACA